TATGATAGTTAAAGATATTTAGACATACTGCTGAGAAGGCAGAAATGCCTCCTGCTCACGTTGCTTTGCTGAAAGAGGTGTGCTGTGCTTGGGTGGCAGCTGAAGCTGTGGGTGCCCTGGTGTTACAGAGCACTGGGTTCCATGGACTGTGGGAAACTGTGCTGGGGTGCATCAGGCACAGTGTCACCAACCAGGGATGGGATTGTTCTGCTCTGCTCTGCTGCAGCCTCAGCCTGAGAGCTGTGTGCAGCTTTGCTCACTGCAGTATAAAAAAGCTATTAAGTTGTTAGAGAGTGTCCAAAGGAAGGTAAGGAAGATGGTGAAGGGCCTTGAGGGGAAGCTATATGAGGAGTGGCTGAGGTCACTTGGTCTGTTCATCCTGGAGGAGACTGGGGGAAACCTCATTGCAGTTGCAGCTTCCTCATCAGGGGAACAGAAGGGGCACTGATCTCTACTCTGTGGTGACCAGTGACAGGACCCATGCGAATGGCCTGAGGTTGTTTCAGGGGAGGTTTAGGTTGGATGTCAGAAAAAGATTCTTCGCCCAGAGGGCACTGGAACAGGCTGCCCAAGAAAGTGGTCACATCACCAACAGTGACAGAGTTCAAGAAGCATTTGGCAATGGTCTCAGGCACATAGTGTGTCCCTAGGGGATGGTCCTGTGCAGGCCTAAGACTTGGACTTGATGATTCTTGTGGGTCACTTCCAACTCTACATGTTCTGTGGTTCTGTGGCAATAGTCCTCTAAGTGCAAAAGAAAAAGGAATTTGGGGATCAATGTCCTAGAAAGCTGATCTAATCCTTGGGACAAACTCTACAGGTAACATCCTGTCTCCAGCATGTGCTGGTCAAGAGAGAAGAAATGTCTCAAAATAATTTCAGTAATTATCCCACCCTCTGAAGCATAATTAATTTGAGGGTCCAGGGGCTTTGGTCTTGCATCAAGTCCAATTTGGTTCTTCCACTAGCAGCAGAGGCCATGGAACAGGGAGCGAGCCTCTTGTGCTTCCGATGGTGTCAAGCTGGCAGCAGCACTGAGTGCTTGGGAAAGCATAAGTGGAATTGGGAAAGAATTCTGGCAGGTTGGAGGATGGGCTGGAAAATTGCCCATATCTTTTTTCTTAATGGTAGGTGCTAACTGCAACACAGATCTGCATCAGTATGGGGGGCAACAGTCTCTGCAGTTATGGGCTGAGGCTTCTGAAGGTTTGTGAGGCAAAGATGTGTCAACAGCATCACTCTTTGGGGTAAAACAAAGGTCATGTTAGGCTGAAACTTTGTGCCTGAGAGGCACAAAGCTCCCCTTGCCCTCAACACTCACAGGGTTGTAGCTGAAATATTGTCTCCTCTTTGTCTGCAGCTTCCTTGGAAGTTGAGTATTTCCATAGTCTTCTGCTTATTTCCAAAGGTGGATGAGCAGCAGGGCTGCAGGACTCTGACCTACAAGAAAACCTGGAACAGTGGGGCTGAACCTGTGTGTGTCATGCAAATAAACCACGAAATACCAGACTGGGGTTGTTGCCTTAGCCAGGAAGAAATAGCATTGAATGTCAGCTCAACTCGGCTCTCTGCAGCAGGATGTGTTGGTGGAGAGGATTGCTCACTGGGAAAGGCAGCGCTGAAGTTTTGGGGGATGCAGAGCTTTGGAGGGAGGCAGCTGAGCTGGGCTGCACGCAAGGGAGAGGGCCTCAGGGCACTGTGTGGAGGCTAAGCTGGGATTCAGAACTGCCACATGGGAGCAAGCAGTCTGTATCCAATTAAAAATTGGAGCAGCTCCTTTGCATGGACTGAGGAAGAACTTTTGTTCTCCCTGAAGTGGTGAGCTGGAGAGCAAGGACACTGCTGGGAAGGAGCGAGAGATGTCCCAGCAGCTCAGCTCACCCCGGGCTCGCTCTCCAAAGCTGGGGCCATATAAATGGGGTTTATATTTAAGGCAATGAGACTGAAAAGTGCTGCCCACTACAAAAGCAGGGGACTGCAAGCTCATAATGCAACACCCAGAGGGTGAAAGCCTTACTGCTAAAATGCTTAAAATGAAGCAATAAGGGAATTTCTGCCAAAGGAGAGGGGCTGTAGATGCAAGGAGCCACTGGGGGTTAACGCACAGGCAGAGATGTTGCTGTGCCTGAAGAAAAGCCTCCTCCTTGTTTAACTCACTGTGTGGACATGGTAAGCATAGGGCTCTTTTATGAAATGCCTGTTTAACAGTGAGCAACACAGGATTAGTAAAATCTAAGTAAAATCTTAGTAAAATCTAAGGTTGGGAGAAGATGTTCCTTGAGGAAAAACCGAGTCTCTGGAGATCTCCTGAAGGTGGAAAGAAGTGAGCTGTAACCCAGCTCCACTGCTCTGTTCTGTCTTCATCCTGTGATGGATGAAGGAGCAGAGCCAGCTCTTGCACTGGGCTAACTCTTCAAATAATTCTCACTAAACCAAATAAGCTGCCAAGCACGGGCTGGATTTTGCTGGCTTTTGTTTTCAAGTGTTCCCAGCTGCACAGCCCCTGGGTGCCAGCACAAAGCCACTTTCCCAAGCGCTGTGTCCTAGTGTGACATTCAAGCACAAGAGCATGGAGATTCTGCTCCTCCCTCTCCTGCCCTTGCCTTCACCTGGATGACATGGCTGCAGGTTGGTGGCCACCCTGGGCTCAAGGTGCTCTGGTAGCTCCTGGGTTGGGTGAGACAGTCAGAAGCATTCCCAAGGGAAGGGTTTCTTCCAGGCAGGAAGGGAGCAGCCCTGCAGCTCTGCTTCACCTCACCGAGCCAGGGCACACCCGTGGAGCATCCTGGCATGCAGGCAAAAGCTTCTGACTTTGGCCTGATGCCAGCTGGTGCTGGGAAAACTGCTCCTGGAGTCAACAAGGAGGGGAATTGAGGTGAGATTCACCCTGTAGCCCATTTCCATCTGCTGTTGGAAGCAAATCTGAGATTTGGTGGCAAACCCATCCGAGGAGGGTGCTGTGAGCTGGCCCAGTGAGATGCTGGCAGGACATCTGAAGAGCTGTGGTTGCTGAGCTGGTGGTGGACATGTGTCCCACTGCTGCCACTGCCCCAGCACTTGGACCCAGGTACTTTTTTACCATGAAATTTTGGGTCTGGCTGGCTGCTTGGGTAAAGGGGACTGCAGGATTCCCAAAACACTGCTCTGAGGGGGCTGTGTGGCTGCAAACACTGCTTTTACATGATCCATCACCAAATTCAACATCCAACCCCCACTTACTGCTCTAGGAGGAACTTGTAGATCCCACCTACAATGGCAGCAGCCCTTGTAGACCCTGTTTTGGAGACCTGATCACACCGACAGCCTATTTCCCTCCATTCCCATGGACAAAGCCCAGAGCCACTATGGATTGTGACATGCCAAATCCCACAGAATAGAGTGCCTGGCACTGACAGTGCAGGAGGTGCAGTCAACCCCCAACCTTGAAAATGAGCTATCTCATGGCACCCCCAAAATGTGTTTTTCTGCCCTTGGTCAGATCTCTGCTCCCTCCAGCTACCCCAGGGCTGGCCCAAGCTCTTGGATTTGTCCCATCCCCTCGAGCCAGCCCTGTATCCTGCCCCAGGAGAGGCCAGGCCCTGCATCCATATATAGGCAGAAGATCAATCCAGCTGATAATTTGGCACTCAGCATGGAGAAATGACAGCAGGAAAGTTGAATGTCAGCATTTTATTAAAGATTTCCGGTGTTTTAGCAGCCAGTCAATTTTTTGTCTTAATTCTTACGTAGTTTCCCTTTAGTCTTCCGTATTTTTTCTTCATTCTTTAGTATTTTTTCTTTGGCGTCCTCTGTTGGTTTGCTCTTCTGCATTTCATCTCGTATCTCCTGTATTTTTTCTTTGATGTTCTGTATTTTTTTGTTGATGTCCTGTACTTTTTCTTTGTTGTTGCGTACTTTTAGTTCATTCTCTGCTTTTGCTTCATACTTCAGTATTTTTTCTGCATTCCTTGGTATTTTTAATTTGTTTTGCTGTATTTTTTCTTTGTTCTTATGTATTTTATCTTTGAGCTCCTGTATTTTTTCTTTGTTTGTCCATATTTTTGTTACATTCTCTTTTTGTACTTCATTGTTCCTTTTTTCCTCTTCGATATCCCCATGTCTTCCTTTCTTCATCCGTATTTTCATTTCATTCTTCCATATATTTTCCTTGATCTTCTCTATTTTTGTTTTGTACTCCAGTATTTTTATTTCATTCTTCTCTATTTTTTCTTTGATCTCCTGCATTTCTTCTTCAGTGTTCTTAATTTTTGCTTTGATCGCCTGCATTTTCTGTTCGTTCTTCTGTAATTCCTCTTTGTATTTCTGTATTTGTTCATCCTTGTCCAGACGTGGTTCCTCGTTCAGCTCACTAACACTGTCATCCGCAAAGTTCAGTTTCCCCATTACGTCTCCTACCTCCTCAGTTCCTGGGCAGCCGAAGTGCGAGTGGGAAATGGGATTTCGGGCAAAACCTCACCTCAGCTATCGGACACCTGCTGAGGGAGATGCGGGACTGGCTGCTGCCTTCCCAGCAGGCTGAGCACGCCCAGGCTCGGTTCCTCGCCTCCCGGCACCGCCGCTGGTTCGGCAGTGTCGCCCTGCCTGGCTGAGGGGTCGCGGAGGCCGCTGAGGGGATCCGGGAGCCGTTGCGGGAACCGTTGAGGGGCTGCGGAGCGGCTGAGGGGGTGCGGGGCTGCTGGGAGGTGCCGAGGTCCCCTGAAAGGCTGCGGGACCGCCGAGGGGCTGCGAGGCCGCTAGGGAGGTGCTGGAGACCGGCGGGGCGGCGAGGGCCGTCGGGCCCACAGAGCCGCGGTGGCTTCTGAGGTGGCGCCTCGTCCTCCTGAGGCGACAACGGCCGAGGCGGGGCCACCGCGCGTGCTGGAGGAGGGGCCAGTACGGACCACGCCCCCTCACCAGGAAAGGGGCGCGTCCCGCTGAGGCGACGTCACGGGCGCGCTGATTTGCATACGCCGTGCGTGCCGCGGGGTGGGCGGGCAGACGCCGGAGGTGGCGAATCCAAGATGGCGCCGTGCGGACGTGTCCGGAGCCGCTGCCCGGGCCCGGCGCTGCTCCTGCTGCTGGCGCTGGCGGCGCGGCCGGCGGCGTCCAGCCCTGCTGCCGGTGTTGCCGGTCCCGCCGGTGCTCTGCCCGGAGCGGGGCAGCCGGGGGGACCGGGCCCGGCTGCCCCGCGGAGTGCCCGTGGCGGCGGGTCGGGCAGCGGGTGGAAGCTGTCGGAGGAGGCGGTGTGCCGGGAGGACGTGGTGCGGCTCTGCTCCAAGCACAGCTGGGCCAACAACCTCGCCGTGCTCGAGTGCCTGCAGGATGTCCGCGAGGTGAGGGTCGGGCCCGGGGCCGGGCCGGGCCTGCCCGCGGCGGCGAACAAAGAGCCGGGTCCGCGCCCCGCCGCGCCGCCGCCCCGCGTTTCCCTCATGGTTTGTGTTTTAAAGATCGGGGTTTGCGCTGCGGAGCTCCGCCAGAGGAGCGAGCTGCCTGCAGGGTGGCCGTGAGGACTCCGGAGAGCAGCTCCCCTTCATCCGCACCTCGGGGCTCCGCGCTGCCGCCCGCGCAGCGCCCTCCGGGCAGGGAGCGCTCTCGGGGGATGGCTTTGTGTTCTGGCTCCGGTGCCTTGCGGGGTGATTCGTTTCTGGAGGTCTGGGAGAGCGCAGCCCGCGTAGTGCGGAGTGAAGGCGCCGTGCTCGCAACAGCAGTGACCTGAGATGTTTTTTCACATTCAGGTTCCCACCTTCGCCTAAAACTCGGCTGCAGAGGCGGCTGCTTTCCAGTCCTCGGTTGTGCGTGTATGAAACTCGATATATAATCGTTAGACGTAGCTGACTTTATGGGGAGGTTAGCGGGGCAATCTGTGTTGTTCTGAAACAACTGTCGTGAGCAGTTTTAAGCCCAGTTCAAGAAAAAACTGAGTTGCCTCCTCCGAGTCTTCCGGCTCCATCTTTTCATTCATTCCTGGGCTCATTTCGAAGCAGCCTGTGCGGGACGTGCCTTTAGTGAGCCGTCGTAGTCTCGAGGTCTGTGTATTCTTGGCTTCTCTGCTGTAGAATCCGGGAATGCCAGGCTGGGTCAGTTTTAATGGTGTTTTGTCCAATAGGGAATGCGATTAGGAAAAACCTGGGCTCGTTTCTCATCCGTTTTTATGGGGACAGCAGATGGCAGTGGCAATGGTTACTCTAATTGAAGGGAGTCTTGAACCAGTAAGTGTCAGTGATTACTTTTGGCTTAAAATGCAAAGCTAATTTGGATTTTAATCTAACTTCATGTTTTAATTTTGGATGAGTAGTTAGTAAGACACTCGTGGTAGGTGTTTTCAATGAGTCCTGCTGCAACATTTGTCACAGGTATGAAATGCTCCCATATGTGCTTTATGAATAACTTGCCCCTTGCTGTTCCTTTCCCCTGTCTGGGATCTTTTGGCCCCATTTTAGGTAGGCATCCTGTCTGAGAGGATCTCGGAAGCTGACCTCACAGGCAGTGCCTCACAAGCTGCCAGCCTGCCAAAAAGGCAAGCTCTTGTTGTTCCTTTCTTTCCAGTTGCATAGCCCCTCCCTACTCTTTTCACAGTTCCAGTGCTTGTTGGTTTTCTGCCATTTTAGCGAGGTGAACTCTTTTGTGGTCTAGTTTATCGGTTTTCTGCAGGAATAGTTTTGTAATTTTTCTGAGTTAAAGCACAGAGGGGGTGAGTGCAGGGCTGGTACACAGGGCTGTGCAGGGAGAGGGATAAGATCAAATCGAAGGTGAAGGAATGTTTTACATCACGCTTTATTTTCAGCAAGTACAAACCCTTATGTTGGCTCTGCATATCTCCTGAGAGAATGTTATGTCTGCTTGTGGTTTTCCTTTTCCCATTCCTAAGCCTGCCTTGATGTCAGTAGTTTGCTGGCTGCTGGTCTTGTCTAGATGTAGTGCTGCCTGATGCCCAGTGCTGAAGGTGAGTTTTTCCCTGGGTGACATCCCAGGCATCAACAGGACATCTCAGGGCTCTTTTGGATTGAATTTTTTCTCTGGAGGTGTCACTCTGTGGCCTTGTCCTTATTTGTCTGTCAGCCTGCAAAGAGCACTCTCAGCTGGTCTCCACTCTCAGCAGTTTGCCCAGTAACACTGATGTGATGGGCTGCATCCTGACGTAAAAATGACTTCACAGGGTGCTGCTCTGAGAAATAAATTAGAATAGCTGACTTCTGTGTATCCCTACTGTTAAACACTTGATATTTAGACTGTGAATAAAAGTCATGAGTTGTAAACATTGAGTAGCATTTCAGCTGATTGGGAATGGGGTCAGATGTTGTCTCAGACGTTTCCTTTGCATTGGAGATGACGGCAGAGGAAATAAGTGACATATTGACTGTTGTTGATATAACTTTTACTTTTGACTCTAGAGCATCTGACTGCTTGTTTGGATAATACCAGAAAAGTGACAATTACGTTTTAAAATGGGTGAGGATTTATTCTGAGTCATACAGCCCACTTAAAACCAGTCAGGCTATAGTAAGTGGAGATTTGGGGAGTTGTTTTGTGTGATGCTCTCAGTGAGGGCAGTGTGTGGACAGTGCTGCAAGGATCAGGTAAGATTTTTAGATGCAGTTAGGCTGCAGAAGGAGCCTTTTCTTTCTCTAGATGTTTAAGGTAATCTTACTTTTTTCATAAGAAATGTTTCTCTAAAGTGGAGAAAATTCAGCTTGAAACTGGGAGTGTTACTATGAGGATTATCCATTGATTTTTCTTAGTGTCATACAAGCAGGCTAGGATACTTCTAAATACGAATAACTGGGAGAAACAACTATATGAAACATTCTTTTTCAGTCCATAAAATATAGAGAAAAGAGGTGTTTTGTTAGTCAGTGTGAGTGCAATCACATGGTTTTGGTATCTGCTGATTTCTAGGAGTGGCTGTCTTTGAAGTACATCTTCCCTTGCTTTCATTGGGTAGTTTTAAATCTAAAGGAGCAGGAGTTTTGATTCAATGGTTGACTGGTACAGGAGCCCAACTTGTAAGGCAAATGTTGAAAGAAGCAGTTTAACACAAATATTCAGTAAAGAACAGTCTGGCACAAAGAAAATAGTAAAAAAACCCCAAACTACATACCCAAAACCCTACACAAATGAAAAAACCCACCTAAGCCAAACCCCCAAATAGTAAATTTGAAAGTTTTGGTTTTGGGAGGTTATTGGTAGGCTGTCAGTTTAAAGTATTATCAAAAGAGTTATCTAAGCACTGTGTATTTTTAGCATTCTTGAAGAAAAAATAGTTAGATCCTCAGACTGATATCAAATACTTTTTACCACTGATTTTTCCACTGAGTCAAAGAAATGTTTAATTAATGTAGTGCAGAGTCCTCTTTCCTTTTGTAGTAGAAGGATGCTCCTTGATTGGAGAAGGAAATGGTCATGGTCAGAGCTACTCGGCTTAAACATTTTTGACCATAATCAGAAAATAGAGTAAACCCTATTTTTTTGGTGCATTTTGCAGGTGAATTAACTTCCTTCTTGTTAGAAGTATTCATGCACTGGATATATTACACTTTTGGGTGACTTAAATTTTATCATCAAGATTTTAATTATTATTCACATCATTCTATGTCACGATATACAAGGAGTAGAAAGGGGTAGTGTATATGTATATTTTTAAAATTTGTGTTCCAAAGTGATTTTTTTCCTGGAAGGATTCAGATTGTGAGCCTGTTTCTGGAAAGACTTTAGAGCTTGCATTTCACTGAGCATAGGCTGCAGCCTTTAAGCCCTTTTTTTGTGGGTTGCCTGTTAAACTGATTTGCATGGTGGTTAAAGTATAAATAAACCTATGAAATATTAATATATTTGCTAGGTAACGATTTTTGCTTGATTAATGATGATTTGCATTTGAAGCATGACCAAGTTGTTGAATTTGAGGTGGGAAACATTAAAAGGGATGAAAATAATCTTATCCACTGTGGGTCTCTTATCTGGTTTACTAGTGTAGCATAATTTTACTTATAAAACCTACATTACATCTGGTTAATTGGTGAGTGAATTTGATACCATAATTGTTGAGCATTGCCCTTATAAAGATTGTGCAATATTTATAGCATGATATTGTTTTGTATCATGTTAATGCATTAAAGGCTTAGTATTTTTTCTAGACCAAACAGTTGTGGTTAAGATGGGATTAGAGATCAAAGTTTTGGCCTCCTGCTACTTTCTTCATCCTGAGTGGTTCCGTTTCTTTGGTAACTACTTTATGGCAAAGAGAGTGTAATTGAGCCTTAATGCTCTGCCTTCTGGAAAAAATAGGACTCTCCCAGTGCTGCAGATTGCATTAAGAGCAAAACAAGTTACCATGAAGGCTGTGTATTTCAAGAATAGTATTTTTCCTGTTATTTCGGTATTGTACTTGGTGTAAAAGGCCAGAAAATTCATTTGATGTGACTTAATGGACTGAGGAGTGTGTACCATTGACAGGTTGGGAACTGTCATATTTCTTCCATTTAAATGTTTTATTCCTCACTCTGTGTGTACCTGAGCTCCTTAAGTGATCTGATAAAATAGTGTCAGTGAAATTACTTGTTTTAAAATTATATATGGAGAATAGAAACCAGACAGTAATGCATGCTTGGGGTCTTCATCTCTTTGAGTTATACTGTAATTGTAGGAAAAATTGTGTGTTCCCAGTCCTTGTCCTGGTTCTCTAGTGTTTCTACCTTTTTGGTAAATGGATTGGAAATGTAAAGGCTTCCCTTAATCTTTATGCTTGCATTGAGGTAGATGAGTGTGATCTGTCACAGTAGCTCATTTTACTTTATTTTTCCTCTTTTTTATCTCCCTAATTTATTGAGTTCCAGGTCAAAGGTTTTGTTTGACTCAACATATGACATTATGTTATATTTGAGCACGTACTGTTATTCCATCTCTCTGTTTTCCTATGCACAGATGGAGGCTGGCATTTAAAGTTCCTTTTTTGAGAGGTCTCATTTGTGGCAGCAAATGACTGGTTACCTGTCCAGAGCTCCAAGTAATTGAGGGCTGTGGATTATCATAGTGTGAGGTTAGGCTAGTTCTTAGGAAATGCCAGTGATGAAGACACTCCTGGCAGGGCTGACCATCTCTTTCAGCACTTAGGGAGTTTTTTTCCCCAAAATCCCCAGGCATTCTCCCTGGCCTTCAGGTGAGCTGTTTTAAAAAATTGCCTGTTCAAGTTGTAAGAAGCTTCCTGTTCCTTGGGTTGGTAAGTCTGTGGCTGTGGGATGGAGGCTGTTCTGGTTCTCTAATCATTATTATTGCAAAGGAGCAGGCAGTTAGTATTCCAGAGGTACTCTTGCAGTGCCTACAGCATTATCATTGGTTC